CTTTTCATTTCTAATCAATCTTTCAATCTGTTAATAAATCAAATAAATATTTGTCTCTTTAGGAGTTTGTTTTTTTATTGAACTAATAGATGTAATCAATGAAATAATCATCAAATAATTTAGTTGTTAAATAATGAGTAATTCTAAAAACAAAAGTGGATCTAGAAAAAAAGTAAAAATATTGCAACAATGAAAGTAATTTCAAATGAAACAGAGCGATTTAATTTTTTAATAGATTCATTCAAATCTGACAGAATGGATCCTTATGATGAAGCAGTTGCAAAAAATGAACTTGGGAAATGGTTTAAAATTAAAATTATGACTTTTAAAGATGGAGGTAATGTGTCATTGGATCGTTCGTTATTAGCTAAAATCTTAAGAGAAAGAACAGAAATGATGGGGACTAGTATTGATACTGTTTTGGCAGATAAATTATTGAAAGCATCAACTGCATTGTACAATTTTGAAGAAGACAAAGAACGAAATGAATATATTAATGATGTTTTAGTCATTAAAACATGGTATGAAGATTGTCTTGATGAACCAGACAACCATTTAATTGGACTAAAAGTCAAAGATGAAATAATTTCTATTTTAGAGAAATATAATCAAACACACGGTATATTTGAACAACTTGCAGATAATAATATTAAATACACACAAAGAGGAAGAATTAAAATGAGTACATATGAGTCATGGAGAATTATGAGAAAAGGATCAATTATTGTTTTAAAAGAACAACGAATATTTGGAAGAGTTTGTAAAGATTTTAGAGTTGTTAATGAAAATACTATGATTCAAGTGTGTGTATCTCGAGAAGACAATAATTGTATTGAGGTTCATATTAAAGATATTTTTCTTATGCCAACTGAATCAGTTAATCCATCTAAGTACTCAACAAATAATTGTGGGTCATTAGTTCAAGACATTGAAAAACAAATAGGAGATGAAGTTATTAATTCATTTGAGCCAGTTTTAATAGAAGGATTAAAGAAAAAATTTGATATTGATATTCCAAAGAATGAAACACTTACTAGAGTTAATTTAAATAGAATTTCCCAATCATATAATACATTTATGAATCTTTCAAGAGAACAAAAAGATAATTTTACAAAAGAATATGGACAAATACTAAAACAAAAGATAACTGAACAATGTATGAAAGTTGGAATAGATAAAAAACATAACTATTATCCAAGTTGGAAAAAGGATAGAATAGGTATTTCCATTGATAAATATAAATGGGTTCATCAAAAATTAGAGGAATTAAAAATAGATTTACAAGGAATAAATTCAGAAATTGAAAAACAAACAACTTCATTATTACAGCAATCATCTATAGATTCTTTTAATGAAAAACGGGATAGTTCTATTAAAGAAGCACTTATAAATTATTTGAAAACATTTGGATTTATTCCTAATAGTTTTGATGATCAAGTTGCTATGAAATGTCCTAAATCAGTTGAAACAATTTATAGTAACAAAATGATTTTAGATAAATTTGCATTCTGTTTATATGAAGAACCAAGTTTTGAAAAGTTCATGAAAGAACAAATTGAGAAAGTTAAAGTGTTTAATGAAAATTATATTAAGAAATTAGGTGTTGTTTTAAATGAATTACTTAATCATAATATTAATGTTCCAGATAATTATGAGACTCTTATGAAACAAGCAAATGATTTTGCTACTCAAAATCCATCAGATCCTAATTCTAAAGGATTCATTCGTGTTGTTGAACTTTATAATAAGATTTGTTATGAAGAAGCAAACCAAGAAACTCCATTACATAAAACAAAATATGGAAAAACAGTAATGAATGTTTTATATTCATTACAAAATGAATTTGATTCTATCTATAATATGTGGGGAAGTGATGCATTCTTTAAATTTCACAGTAATTCTATTTATGAAGAGAAGAGCGAACAAGATAGTTGTGCATGGATGCAAAGTATTGAACAACAATTAAAGATGTATTGTCAAGATGGTTTTTAATTGATAATTTTTTGAAGGAAAGGTTATTCAAAGATAAAAATAATAATAAAAAATAATTAAGAAATAGAAAATTGTTTTATTTTCTTTGGTTGTAAACAAAAACAAATTAAACTTAGGAAAAAACTTAAAAATGACAAGAGATGTCAGTTGAAAGAAAGGAGGCTCAGTTGAAAAAACAAATTGAATATATTCACCAATCTGCAGAATCAAAGAGAGATGAAATTATATCAAGTGCTAATCAAGAAAGTGAAAAAGAAAAAAATAATATAATAGAAAAAGAAAAAGCAAAGATAGATTTAGAATTTAATAAGAAACTTAAAGAGGCAGAAACAAAAAAGAAAATCTCACATTCACAAGAACTTTCTGCTGCTAGACTTCAATTATTAAAAGCAGAAGATATTCATATTCAATCATTAATGACAGAAGTACGTAATAAATTAATAAAATCAACACAAGAAAGTAATTATCCAGAAATACTCATGAAATTAATTCAAGAAGGAATTAATAAATTACAAGATAATAACGTCACTATTCGGTGTGTTGAACGTGATATTAAATTAGTTGAAAAAACCGTTAAACAAATAAATAAAGAACACCCAAAAATGAAAATTGATATTGACACTATGTTTTATTTAGAAGAATCTGTTATTGGTGGTGTTACTGTTGCATCATTAGGTGATAGAATTATTTGTAATAATACATTAGAACATCGTATGAATCAGGCATTAGCTATAGCACTTCCATTAATAAGAAAGACTGTTTTCCCTTCCCTTAAGACGCAAATACCCATTCAATAAATACTTTTTCTTATTTCTTTTGTTTTTTTTTT